TAGACTTTGAGTTACACAATACTGTCTGGTCAGATTGCCAAGATGAATTTGATTGTATAATTTATGATTGGGAAGAAGTTCTAAATAATGTTTTTAAGAAATTTAATGCAAATACAGGTATATATGAATATGTAATTATTTTCCTGAAATAATATACACATATTAATTACTGTAAGAAACTGGAAGTACTACTTACAATTAACTTAAAATACATCTAATGTGTTAGATGTATTTTGAGTTAATTATATGGTATACACATAATTGATTTATAAGTATTTAAAATTATGTTGAACTCTAAAAATTTTTTTGGAAATTTATGAAATAAATTTATGTTTATTAATGAATAATAATTTAGTACTCTGTAATTTGTATAAGAAAATTAAATATGATAAGTAACATTTTGTATTATTTTTATTTTATTTTATTTTATAAATGTAAATGATAAAATTTATTTAAGTCATGTCATCGTTCTTTCGACATTCCACTATTTTATATTGGTTTACAATCTTTAATATTGCTTTTAAACTTTCAATGATGATATGATTAATGGCTCAATTGATTTATTGATTTTTATCTGAGTCATTTGTTAACAAAAAACAATCTTATCTCAATTAATATCCTAAGAATATATTTTTAAAAAGTTGATTAAAATTTTTTAAAATCCATATTATTGTAGGAAATTAATTTTTTTCTTCAGATATTGTTTTATTTATAATTATGTTTAAAAAAATTCATTTTTAACAGAATTACAAAAGCTGTTTCTTCATAAATTTACATCTTCTAGATGTTTCATAAAAATACACGTAAAAAGTTTATGTATTTTCTTTAAATAATATATTTTCAATCTTCTTTTTATTTTAAAATTAAATTACAGTAGAAATAATAATAATAATAATTTTAGTTTTATTTTGGTTGCTATGCCTTGACTTGGTCTGGCATAGTACACAGCCACCGGTGTGAACCAAGTATAACTCACAAAACTCAACATAATAATAATAATTGAAATTCATATGATACAATTATTATTTGACTTAAATTTAAAATTATCTTCAAATTTTGTTTATTAATATAATCAAAATAAATACCATGTCAAAACTTAACAAATCACAAAACCACTTGCTTATCAGACATAGCAGAATCTGAAAAAGTGTCTTATAAATTCTGAATTGATTGAACTTTCATTAAATTTAATTTAAAATCATAAAAAATCATTGTCTAAAAATGCTTCTAAGTCAATTCTATTGCAGATGACCAACATATTGCACTAGATACATTTTCCACTTTCTACAATGGCAGGAATTTGCAAGAAAACAATATCTTGTTTTCTTGCAAATTGGCACACGTATTAAATGTAACAAAATATAATACTGCATGTCATATGCTTTTCTCATACCTAGAAGCTTTAAACATGGCTATGTATTATTTGTGATAAATAAGAAATTCATTTGATTTCTCAATTTTTTTTATAATCCTTAACAGGTTTTATTTTTATGAATGGATATTGAGATATTATAATGTTAAATTTGTATAAATTTAAAATTATATTAATTTTTTTTTATAAATTAATGTTTATTAATTATTTACATAAACTTAAATTAAATATATCATATTTATGCTTTTAGGCAAGTGATTGACAACATTCGTGAGAAGTGGAAACAGTTGAAAGGGAGATTAGTATTGGACTGTGTTCGCATTTATTTAAATTGTGCCCGAAAATGGTCCTATTGCGGTGCCAAATTATTTAGTGCCAAGGCATGTAATATTTAGCATATTATAAAATATTTTAAAATTTTATAATTTTAATTATATTATTATTATTGTTATTACTATTTTATTTGAAATTATGAAAAATAATATAAAATTTATACAAATATATTTTGNTTATATAAAAAATTTATTGCAGTTTGTTAGTTACATATATATTTTTAAACTTTACATAAATAATTACAATAACCTCAGATAAAACAAAATGCTGTGATAAAATTCTATTTATATATACTTACTGTAGTCTATTCAAATAAATTTTAATCTCATCATATTAATTTATAATTTATATTACACTACATTTATTATTTAATGTAAACTGAAATAGTTATTTTATTCACTTTCATTGTTCAATGAAGTATTCAAAATTAAAAATAATTAATATCTTATTCTAAAAATTATTTAAATATTGAATGCTTAAACTTAGAAATATAAACATTGACATAAAGTATAATGTTTGAAATGTATAGCATACAATGAATTTCAATAAATCTAAATCAGATTTTAATGTAAAATATTCTGTATCTGAAAGCACAGACATTTGAAGTAAAAAGGTAGTTTCATTAAAAATTGAATGCTTTATTAATGGAATATTACAATCTTAATCTTTCAGCAATGCATTATTACAAATCTAATATCACTAAAGAATTGATTTATAGTTTTTTATGATTACTTATTATTACTGTCTTACTATTTAACAAATATAATAAGTTTTATTTTTTCTGTTCAAAAGTAATATACAATGCTTATCATATATTTAATAATAATTTATGATATTTATCATAAAATAAAATTTAAGAGTAATTATAGTTTTATATAATAGAAATTTTTAAATTGATGTATGACATTTATAATAACCAAAAAACATTTTATGAAAATATAATCAAAAACTAGTGTGTATCTTTTCTATTTATTATATATTATTTTTAAATTTCAATAAAATATGTTAAAATCTTATCCTAATTTTTATTTATATGATGATTATATTTAAGCATCTTTATGTGTTGCAAAATTTATGAATGAAATGTTTTTTACTTTCTATTAAGTATTTATAATAGCACTATTCTCAGCAATAACACATCAATAGTTAACAAGTATAAAATAATAGGCAATTGTTTCAGATTGGTAACAAATACATGCTATGTAGAAAAATACTAATGCCAACAAAATTATTTACATTTGCTATTTAAATAACAGATATTTTTAGATTTTGTAAACTATGTTTAATTTGAATTAATTGAAATATTTATTTGTTGAATATTATTTCATTTGTGAAAAATAAATCTAGCAAAAACATTATACTGAATGTAGCCATTCCACGGATATAACATTCAAAAATGAAGAAACATTCCAAACAAAATATGATGCATTTTGAAATTTACATTATAAATTAAATAACACAACACATTATACAGTTTACAGATGATATATATAGGCCTACTTTTTACATGAGGATGGCCTCTCAAGGCAGCTGAAAATGTTCATAATTTCTATTAAATGTTGCGGGAGTAAGTACGTAAGGTATTTTCTGTATGTCAGTGTCAATTGTAACATTTTAATTTTTTATAACAGATTACAGTTTTAATAATAATACATTTTTGAAATTTGTTTGGCACTTTCCATTACATACAATTGTATGTAATCAAATATATGCTGTACATAAAAACCTTTTTATATTATAATTGATATAATTAAACAATGCATTAATGATAATTTTTTTAACAATATTAAATTCTTGAAAAGCTTAACTTTATAAGATATTTTTATTATTTATTCTGCATATTCATTGCTGTTTTAGTTATTTGATATATTGATTTTTGTTGCCTTAATTGATGAAGGGTGCTTATTCACCATATTTATTCAAATGATTGTTTCTGCTCAATTATGTAACACCTATATTTATATAATTAATTATTTAATCTCAGTTTTAATGAAACAACTACTAATAATTTCTGTTGAAAATTCTGTAGAAAAAAAATTAATATTAAAGCATTTTTTATTGCTTTTCAAGCCTAAAATAATTTACAAAAAAAAATTTTTTAATCTGAAATTAAATTTGTTTCACCATATTTTACAATAAAAGGAATATATTAAAAACTATTAAAAGAAATGAAAAGTATATTGATGAAAGAAAAAAGTAAAAAGTGAATTGCTAAAACAAATTTTAGTTGATATTTTCATTAAATAATAAATATCATTATTTTTATAATAATTTTATAACTTAACTATTGAAAAACATTTGTGTTTGCATTTAAGATTTAAACTTTTAAATTTTTTTTCCTGAAATATATTTAAAATTATTTCTTTTTGAAAAATTATAAAATGCTAATTGAAGTTTCTCTGTACAGATTTACTGATATTTCTTATCATCTAGCTGTCAGTAAACAGTTTTGTATTATTAACTTACAAATGCATTTTAAATTATGAAATAACAAGATGATTTTTTTCACTATTGTGAAAGAAGTATCTTGTTATTTTGTAATATTAATTGGAACATAAAACACATTGAATAATGCATTTTAAATGATTAATTTTTTTATTTGTTTATTAGATATCTCTACCAAAATACAAGTATCCTCGTATAACATGGTAGTTACATTCCTAAAAAGCGCTGTATTAAGTGAATCTGTGCTACTCAAAACAAAGAACTAGTGCAAAGCATGGGTTTACATTCCAGAAGTTAGCAAAAATATACTATTCCCTTTCGTTACTAAGAGAAATATGTTTATTAAAGCAATTGATAATTTATTTTCAATCAATAATTAATTAACTAACAATCACAATTAAAAGTACTGTATTATGCATTAATATTAATTTTAGTTAAATGAGGGAGTTTTCTTTTTACAAAGTATCATTGTTATCTCAGCATTTTTATTGATCTTGATCAGAATTATCAGCAACATTTTCACAATTTTTACATTTATCATAAAAATTTTTATGGATGACAAATTAAAAATATGTTATTAATCGAAAATTTGTTTTAGCGAGTCACATTTGTTCAGTCAAGTACTGAGATACCACCATATTTTGTCTGTCATTTTACAAATGATTGCTTACCTACATTTAAAAAAAGTTTAATAGCACTTATCTAAAAATGTTTAAATAAACTTTACTAAATACAAAGATCTATAAAAGCAATGGCAATGACACTTGGTTGATAGGAAAGTTAGTGTAATTTGTTTCTTCCTAATCCTATTAGTCTTCATTAAAGTAAACCTGACGAAAAGCACAAAATAATTTCAAAATTCTAAAATCCGTGGGCAAATTTGAGACAACACAGATACTTGAATAAAAAAAAAATCAGATAATGAAAAATTACACGTAAAAATTGTGAAAATTTGTACAGAGGATCTCCAAAACCATGTTAGAGTGAAATCATGTAGAAGTACCATGTTGTATGAGGGATGTATCTATATTACAATTTCTTATCAGTAAAAAAGTAGTGCTTATCTTCTGTGTTTGCAGATATTTATAAATGCAAATGGTAACACTTTCAATAGCAACTACATAATGAGTTAAGAAAATTGAAGTACTGCTTATAAAAGACTTACCTGCACTACTCAGATAGCAGACATTAGGAAACAGTCAGTCGTTGGATCATGTAAAGTACTATCAAAATAATACCAATGCACCATAGTTATTCAGGAAAAATTATTTTATCTTTTCTCATCTTCCCTTCCTTTAATTTGTTTTATTAACTCTATATAGTGCAGTGACTGTAAAGTAGTGCTCTGCAACATGTGCAGTGTCACTACACATGTTGCAGAGCACTACTTTTTCTTTAAGTAGACAAAACTGAAACTGATGTTTTTAACAGGAAAATTGCTCTTTCACATATCCTAGAGAACACTTTTACTAGAATTAATCTATTAATGCTAAATGTAGAGAGATGTAATTAAGAAATAGGAATTTCATAATGTATATATATGTATTGTACAATACAATGACAATCTGTTAACCTGGCATCATTTGGACCAAAATAATGCTGTTATAGAATATGCCACTTTATAAGACAATGGATATGTAATCTGTACAAATTTGCCTTTTATGATTGTTTAACACACTATTTCAATTTTTCCAGACTATTCCTACCCTTGGTTTTCTTGAAAGAATGCTCTATTCTTACTTTGTTCTTTGTACACTTATTTCCTATAAATATAGACATACTCTAATTATCAAAGTAATATACTGCAGCTGTTTTCATGATAATTATTGATTCCATGTGTGCTAAATATTTCCACTTCTCATATCAAATGCTTGCAATAATGTCTTTGGAAAAGTCTTTAGAAAAGTCATGCATAAGCTTACTAGTCTTACCTAGCCCAGCATCATGTTGTCTTAGCATTTGTCATCTTTAAAGACAGAATCCACACCAAGAACTGCATGTTTTGGGCACTTTTATACAAAAATTTTAACTGCAGACCTACCCAGTGCACCAATAACTCTCCTCAAGGACAAGCTTGGCATGCAGACTTATTGGATTTGTCAGCATACTGAACACTGGGTTAATGGAATTTCACTGCATATAAGTGTATTTTTCCTTGTAATCTATTGTAATAAAGTCAAAAGATGACTGTTTCATAGGATGTCTGGTGTAAACCAGTCCCACTCACCAATTGACTAATTATTGTAATCTTCATATTGGAAAAAATGGAACAGATGATACAAAATAAAATTAGACAAAGAAACGCCGAAAAATTAGTTTTTATTTGCAAAACATTGTAAAAACTTTCATAATCAATGCTTCAGCATTTAAGGAGGTCCAATTTTATGTGGGACACCTGGTACTATAAATGATTTTTATAAGTGAATAAAAAATAAATAAGTAATTTTATTATTATTATTTATAAGACTTTTTTATCCAATTATTTTGAATATATTAAAAATTTCGTGACATAATAAAACATAAATAACTTCAGATGTAAATGATTTATTAATAAAAAATTCCACTGTACCAAGTTACTAGTAACATCATATAAGTGGTTATTTTTATTGATAAATTGACATTTACATTAAATCTGATGGAATAAAATAATGTACTGTACAGGGTACATTGTTTAAAAATATTAGATATGTTGTAAGACCGATTTTTGTGGCCATGGTTCGCTGATTTATGCCAATTACATTGATTATACAAGTTAACTGAATATTACATTACTACCTTTCAATATAAAATCACTTTAAACTTAATTTACAGTATTTTAATTAAATGTAATTCAAGATGATTTATAATAATAATAATAATTATTATTAATCATCATTTAATAAAATATAAGTATGTTTATATTTAAAATTATTCATATAGGAATATAAAAATTGTCTTGTGTAAAATTGATACCCCTTAATAAAAGTAAATAAATCTTTAATGATGGTTCTGCATACTTTTTGCAATATAATATTAGAAAACTGATTGAAGCAGCTGTCATAGCCACAGTATTTAATGTCTTGGCTTTATGTTCTTCACCCACTTCAAGTAGATAATGAAATCAGATATTGCTGTATAGTGTTTAATTACAGTGGATGGACAGAAAATCAGCATCATTCATATATTTCTATTCATTTTTTTTCAGTAAAGGTTTTCAAAACTGTTTAGATACAAAACTATCTTTTTCATTGTATATTTTCATGGTCAACTTCATCCTTATTATGGAAATATCCTTATTATACTTATAATATTTTTAGGATCATGAATTTTAAGAAAATATACTATATCTTGAAAATACATTTTAAAATCTTTACTTGTTTTGTTGTTAGATGGATTATCTTATCCAAGTGATTTTATTAGTACACTTAAGTAGGCCTAAATCATCTTTATGAGAATATTATAAAGATAAGATTTTATATTCATCACTTTTTGACAAAACTGCTGTGGTATAGTTTCACTCATAGTTTTCTAAATGTTTTTTAAGCATCTGAGACAATAATTTTCATAGATTATAACTTAAAATTACAATATCTAATGAACATTTATTTTGAATGTTGTATATATATGACTTATTTTTCAAATTTTATTCAAAATATGTATTCTCTTACATTACTTTTACCTTAGATAAAAATTAATTCGAAGGTTTATAACTTTATTTAACTCAAAGGTTGTAGGCAGAATCATTTCATGCACTTTTAAGATACCCAGCCAAATGTTTAGAGGCTTTATACAGGTGCAGATAGAGCAGAAACATTAGTAATAAGCCTGTATGAGGCCCGTAAAAAGGCGAGGACGGCCCTTTTTACAGTACCCTTTATCAGTTTTTCATTCAGATATTACATTGTATATACAGTATTTGAAAGTATGTAATTAAATCAGTAAATAAATTTCATTGCTATTATTAAATTTATATGCGAATTTCTCTAGAATATAAACGTCGTCAGTTGTTTTAAAAACGATAATTTTTTGGCAGTAATGAACTCACTCCATCGTCACCGGATATATCTTAAAAAAATTATTCAAAAATTATTTTAATGTACAGTCGACCCCCCTATAACACTATTGATTATTCCGTTTTATATGAATTCCATGTTGTACGAGTCACTTAGATTTTACAAATACGGGTGCCGGGCTGTGAACGGCTCAAGTATTTGTAAAATCTAAGTGACTCGTACAACATGGAATTCATATAAAACGGAATAATCAACAGTGTTACAAGTGGGTCGACTGTATTTTTAATTTAAAATTAAGTTCAACTGATAGAAAAGTTAAATCTTGAAATAAGGAAAAAGTTTTGTCCAACGATTTTTTTTTTAATTTTTTTATCGTGAATTTACTAATTTTTCCATTTGTGTGAAAGAATTTTGAATATTTGGGAACGAAACTTCAGATTTTAATACTTTGTAAGTTTATGGATCATTTATTGTGTGCCTAAACTTTTCGATTGGCGGGTCAAATTGAGCGTAAGTGCCGCGAGACAGATTTGGCATCATAGTTTGAGCACTACTCGTGTATAGATTGTATATACTATTATAATATACATAACATTTTAGATGTTTTATAAGTTAAATATATATATATATATCTTTATGTACATAATGTTTTTATTATACAATTTGTTTTTATTATACAATTTCCCTGACCAGTGGGTGTCACTTCATCGTTTTCTTTGATTTGTAAGGATGGTAGAAGGAAGGAAACTCTCAATATATATTAGAAAAGAGGAAATTCCGAGATTTACCAATGATAGCTTCTGCGTGCAAATACGTCGCAAGAGACTCGTGTCCGTTTTAGTAAATGGATGAATGTGCATTAGCTAACTAGATATTTAATGTTAAGAGGGTTTCAACAGCCTTCGAACAATAACAGCAGCTTCTGCGGTGGCACTTTTTCCCCCTTACCGGCTTAACCCGGGAGTTAAATAGCTAATCATCGAATGAAGTTCATAAATGAACGTGTGGGAGAGTGTAGAGACCCACGCCGACGCCTCCGCTCCTAAAGGAAAATATCTGTAACGATACGCGTTGTGGGCGTTCGGAAACAATGTCTAATACCAAAAGCGCGGATTTCTTGCGGTGAAAGGAGTTAAGAGACTTTATAGTAAACGATCGCGTGACTGCCTTTGCGCGTTGTCATGGCGACGGGGTTGGCCATCATTTCGCTTTTTTTCTTTTTTTTCTTTTTCGTTCGGTGAGAAGCGCAGCAGGTGGAAACGTTGCCCGAAGATTCGATCTTTAGACAACACTCGAATAAATCGCCGTTTGAATTTCATTCGCCACGAATTAATGGTAGCAATTATATAACGCGAAATATCCATAACTCATTTTCTGCTCCAATTTACGTCGAGGGGGGAAAGTATCGATAACGTACGGGAAACCTTATCTAAACGTCGCGTGGCTCCATCTGGCGTCGAAATTATCCGTCGCCGTGTTTGCTTCCTTTATTTTCATCGCCATGACGACAGCGAAGGGAGAGATGGGGGGTAGAAATGTTTCTCAGTTTTTAAATTTCTTGGCAAAACACATTTCGGCTTTATGCCTTTCGGAAATCGAAATTCATATTATTTGTAGTCGCCGGAAAAAAAAATCTGCACGGCGTTTAAAACGTGTAGGAGCGTTATCGTTCGAAAATTGCTCTCTTCTGCTCCCCTCTTCGTCGTCGCGTATGCACCAAACTGGCTAAAAGCCCGTAGATATCTTCCGAATAGCATAGCGCCGACAGCTATATGTTAATAAACCACTCCCGGCTCTAATTACTCGTAATCTCACTCGAGAACGATGGTTATGCCGCTTTTACTCCCACCCCTTCTCTCGTTCTCCTTAAATCTCCAAGTTCAACACCTATGTGACATTAGGGTGCAACTATGCAGGCGCAAGCGAGCGAGAAGAGGCGAGACGCGATAAACATCAAACCCTGCGAGAAGCAGAAATTCGCTCTCGCCAGCGAGATTTCTCTCTTTTCGCTTGTGCACGGTTTTCCTTTGCGAGAACTATATCGCTCGCTACTAAATTCGCGTCTGCATAGTCGCAGACTTACTATAACGTCACATTTTCATTCCGCACTGGTGTTAGTAGGTTACGATAGCAAGGAAAATGTGCACGAGCGAGAAGCGAGAAATCTCTCTGGCGTGAGCGAATTTCTGCTTCTCGCGCATATCTGTCAGGGTTTGATATTTATCGCGTCTGCATAGTCGCACCCTAAGTGGTAGACACTTGGTCGTAATGCCGGGTCACGACGACAGATGGCGCTTGGATGTTTCATAGGAAACGGCGATTTTAATAGAAAATAAAAAAGGGGAGAAAAAAGGGGCCAAATCAGGCTCGTTTCTACATTCTCCAGTATTGTAAATAGGGCATTATACAGGAGAAAATAGAAGCCTTTAACATCTTAATTATCGGGTTATTGTAACTATCGACTTAATGATGGCGCGTATATTAAAAATTTTGGACTGTATCCAAACTCGAGCGGATACGGCTTAATTTTGACTGGCATTCGTACGTAGTAAACTTAAGTTTCTTTTTTTCACGTACAATATTTTTTACGATATTTTCTTTTTTTTTTTATTTCCTCAGCTGAAATCCGGAGATCAGGCGATGATCTGGTTGGCTGTGGTAGAAGATAGCATAGTTCTACTCGATTACGTAACTATGGTAAGACATCCTGACTTTCTTATTGTAAAATGTCGGCTAGTTTTAATAGTAATCATTGGTTGTCTTTCTTCTCGCCACCGGGACGAATATCGAATTCCTCCTGCTCGTGTGACCGGCTGGCGATCACCTGTTCGATACTCCCCTTCTGGGTCGGCCGTGGTTTCGTCTCCGTTCGCCGTTGTTATGGCAACGGACACTGACATCTCCCATCCAGTCCGGAAATTGAAGCGATCTACCAAGGCGTCTCGTTTCTTAGCCTATACCTTACCCCTTTAATCTCTAGTCTATCTTACTGGAAAACGTTCTTTTTTACAATAATTTTCTTAGTCCCGTTAGCCTTCTTAACTTCCTTATTTTCTATTACAACTCCACTTTACGTTTCTTCTTTCTGATCCGATTAAATACTTTCTACAAACGTGATTTTCTACGAAATTAGAGCATTGTCGGTGTTGGAGGTCGTCTTTGTTTATGTCTCTCTCTCTCTCTCTCTCTCTCTTTTTTCTCTCTTATTGCTCTAACTTGTGATAAAAGAAGGCTGTTGCCTTACATCATAAAGATATTAAAATCCACGGCTCGTCGTTTTGCTTCTTCCCATCGGACCTGTTGACGCGTGACCGTTTACATCAATTCTTCTCCACCCCTTTTGAACTTTCCCGCCGTTGGAGGGGCAACGACCTGTTGGAAATGGGTGGACCGGAACAGATTTTTAATGTACACTTAGTACACATATATTGTAGGCCAACACATACGCGTCGAAAAGTTTCGATTTTCGATCGATTTTAATGCTGTTTTACCCACCTCCTTTGCAGCAACCTCTCGTACGCTATTTGTATTCCGGAGTCATGACTTTCGGAGGATGCAGGGACGACTTCATGCTAGTCATCAGTTCGTCGGATGGAGAAACGGGACACAACACGGAGAGGCTACTCTTCTCCATGTCCAAACCTAAGGTAAGATTAACGACACGAAAATATACGTTTTAAATGGGATGATTAGAAAAATAAAATAAAATAAAAAACAAGAGGAGATGAAAATTTGATAATAAATCGAATTGCGACGATCCTCAATTAAAATAAAGTTTATTAGAAATGGGAAGATAAAATCTGCATTTTTTTTTTTACGTCTACTGCTAGGGTCGCTTTCAAGGACGGCAGAAAATGTCACCAGGTAAAGAATGGGTGTTTACTTTGGGGACGATAAATATTCCGCGTATCGTGGATGCCGAGGAATGCCCCACTCGACTGTCGAGTCGCTCGAGAGGTCAGCGGTTAAATTGCTTTCAGATTTATAAAGGGATGTAACGTCTTACCCACCTCCTCCCGTCACCCTTTTTGTATCCGTCGGGTAGTTATTACCGGACGCGAAAACGATCTGATAATGGGGGGAACTTTTGGTACCTGTTGACGTAAACTAGGTGGCGTTTCGGATTTACCACCAGTCCAAGCTATTCCGCAAATACTTTATGATCGATTATGAATAGATAACGGTCTTCCGGATTGTTTTCTGTCATTGGAGAAACTATAAATTAAAGTCGATTTATATACATTAAACGGGTTTTGCCAACGAGACGTGCATAAAATAGGTTTACTTATGCGTGGATAAATTGAAAATCGATAGTCACGTCCCTAGCCGTATTATCCGGTACGTTCTGGATTCTGTGCATCAGAGAGGAGACAGAGAGAAAGATATGCCGTGTTTAGCACGTAGCATTGCATACCCTTGACCTGTATTCTGATGAATGTTAGCACCTGCCGTTTTGCAGGGGGCCTCACTTCTTCCTTGCCGGTACCTCTTTGTGTCCCGAAAACTTGGTAGTTAGGCGTTTTTTTTTTTTTTTTTTTTTCATTACCTTCTCCCTAGCATCATTTTACTTCTAGAATATGGCTTTTATATAGGACATTTATGGGAAATAAAACTTTCGCTTTATTTCTGGTTTACAATAGCCCCGAATGAAAAGTAAAGACTTTCTTGGACGGAAAAAAAATTAAATTTTATAATAAATTTACAGGATAATGCGGAATTTTTTCATTAGATGTGGCCACTAGTTGCTGTCATTTCAGATTTCCAATCCGATCATATTGACGCGTCGTCGTTCAGTGTGACAGTGAGTCAGGAACGGGACTCTCATCAAACGAGGGGGAGGGGATGTATAACGAGCACGTGGCTAGTGAGTCAATCTGTCGACGTGATTCATCTGGCTAACAGAGTGGAAAGTTCAAGCTAGCCAATTCTTGATTATGCAACATCTGCTTCTTTTTAGTTGTACAAATCGCATCGATTCGGCAGGGATCGACTTTGGGTGTTCGAATTTTGGCAGTTTAGCTCGATAGGAATGTTTTATCGTCTTCTTAGTGATTGTCGATTCGATTTAGAAAGTAGACATCTCTTTAGTTCATCGAGAGTTAAAATGAAGTAGTAGGTCGGTGACGTCAGCTCGCTTCTTGTCAATCGATGTCTGATGGTTGCGTCTCCCTTTGTCCTCCTCGTTTCTCTCCATCCCATCTGCCGATCCTCTACCAGACACTAAAAAGAGTTGATTGAAAAGTCAACTAATTTGTTTCTCAAAATCACGATGATTTTTTTTTCTATTAATGAAGTCATCGATGGATGATCGCCTTATACTCTCCTCTTCGGAATGACGAGGGATGTGATTTTAAACTATCTGCAGGATTTATTTCGAATCACGTACAGATTAGAGGAGAGTGGAATTTTTACTCTTGTTTATCTATTTATTTATTTATGAAGAATATTCTGGGAATTTTGTCCTGCTAGAGTTGAAGGAGATACTGAAAGTTATGTTAAATCTACTTTATGCGCTACTATGTTTAAGGGGCCAGAGAAAAAGTCATCATTTTGTTTCTGGGGTGAACAGCATCCCTTCGGGATATTAAGAATGAGAAACAAGGTCGCGAGTGCAGTTCCTGAGGCACCGGTTGGGTACTGCTGCGCTGTTAGCCTAAAAGGACCCACCTGTCTCTTGCTTGCCGTCTTCCCATCTGGATTATTCGTTACGTGTCCGCCGACCACGTGACTTGTCGACCACGTGCCTTCGCCGGAAAGCGGAACGGCTCCGTCGACCTTTGACCTTTGATTCGAATCATTTTCTAGTTCGATCGGAAAGGAAGGCGGGGAAGAAGCAGAAAAAGTGCGACGGCGGGAGATACTCGATCACGTGCTCTCGATACGACCAATGGTACGTTCGATCTTCTCGGTTCGTTGACACGGAGGGTTTTCTCTCCGTCGTCATGGCAACAGAATCCACGTGGCGAAAGCGTGGATGTTTATCGCCCCTGCTGCATTTTGCTCTTTCTCTCTCTCCCTCTGTCGGAGGAACAGACGTCTCGTTTGTAGACGGGAATTTTTCTTTTTTCTTTTCCTAATTTTCTTCCTTCCTTCCTTCCTTTTCGGATATTAGAAGGAAAAAATGGCATTTCGGTTGCAAAATTGATCGATGAATAGGAGACGTCCGGACACATTAGTCGCGTGTGGTATTTACTAATTAGCAGGAAGTTAATTGATCGTTAGGAATGGAAAAGAAAAGTTGTGGTTATTAGACGTTTCTTTTTCAGATCCTAGAGATGACGCTGTTAATCGCTGATTACATGAACGCCCTAGGGCGACCTGCTCTAGTGCCTCCATCCCCTCAAGTCAGTACCTTAAGCAGGTTGGAGAAGATTCGAGCGAAGATCAGGGCCAGCAACACTCTACCGTCGTGTGGAACAGCTGTAGATTCGCCCGATATCGTCAAGATGGCGGCCGAGGCCGATTCCCGATTGCTTCATCGGAGCGAATCTTGCAAGAAACGAGGTGGAAGCGATTCCACGTGACTGTACAGATTCCCGATCCTGTTTTATTTTGAAAAAAGGATCTGATATTTTCCTATATTAATAATGTAAATAATCTTTTTTATCCTTCCTTCCGGATGCCACGGTTCCTCCGAAATGTGGAATTAAGCGGTGAAAAGTGAGAGGACTCTAGTCCTTAACTCCCAACGTCTTCGTCTGAGGTGTAAAAAGTGAGGGAAAGTAAAAAAAAACATCCCACGGAACTTTTTGTTTTTTAATGCGCACCCAAATCATCGAGACGAAGAATCTATTTTTGCATTTCCTTCAGTTCGTTTCTTTCATGTAAAACTTTAATATAATGTACGTGATCCGTATATATATGTGTGAGTGTGTGTGTGCATGTGCGTGTATGTATGTGTGTATGCGTATGTATGTGTGTGTGTGTTTGTCTGTGCGCGGTTGTGCTATTGATAATAAAAGAAAAGATCACTTTTGTCTAGTCTCTTTCATCTTGTCCTTTTCTCGTTTAACAATCACAAGAATTTTTCTTTTACAATTCGAATCGTAGATCGAATCCAATTAATTCTATTCTTCCGTGGATAACCCGGCGCAGTTTATTATCCGATCATTAGGCGTTCGATAGTCATAAATGTCTTTTCTCAACGAAATTATTATGAACAAAATCTAGATTTTGTCAGGCGTTGTTTTGTAATATCTCCGCAGACATTTCATACAATTATCGACTGGGCTAAAAGGAGAACATCTTCAACTCAAGGCCAAGTTAGATCGAGATTCTGCAGAAGACCCATCATCAATCTATTTTATATCAGTAACAGAACAGTAGGAGAAAAAAAAAACTCCAACGGTAGAATACATTAAAGATCGAAGTTAACAGCCGTATTGCAGAGAAATAAACTTTTATTTTTCATCTTTTGTCTATAATTAATAGAAATTCCTTTTATGTATAACATTCGTAGTCTAAATATTCTTAGTGACAAAGAAAACGTATACAAAATTATTTTCTAAGCATTTTTCGAATCGTGCACGAACGAGAGTTACAGTGCTTCCTTCGATAGCATCATCATCATTAAGGAAGTCAAGGCTATTGAAGGATGATCTTTATCGACAATTTAATGAATAGGTTTGGAAGAACGCTAAATGATAGCTCTCATCAACTTATAACAAGGTGCTCACATACACATAAACATCGTGTAACTCGATTTACAAACACTACAAGAAAAACCATTATAATTCCTTTCTTACCCTTAAAAATGAGTAAATTTTGAATAGAAAATAGCATTATTAACATTTAAACATCCCCGATTAGTACCTAAATAATATAGTTACACACATAAATAATTGATTCGTTTATACTTGTATAAATATAATATAATACTTCGTTTATCGAATCATCGCGGTCGATTATTAAAACGAACCTCTCTCTCTCTCTCTTCTAAGTTTTGTAATCAGAGAATTGTCATTACAGAACTACTAAGTGTACGCCGAGAATTAACTTTCTCTTTTGTTTGTCTATGGGTTTTGATTCTGCAATGATATTAAATGTACGATTCGGATGAGTTTGCACATCCATTCGACCTTCCCCTGGTGAAGCAATGGTTATACTTCAAAAAAGAAAAAAAAATAGGCCAACATTATTATATCGTACCTATACGTTTTCTATCTACTTAACCGTAAACGTGAACGGATAGCAATATTAATGAAGTAAAAGCGAGCGTGAATGTTTCTCCCGTATCACGTGATTAAAAAGTAATCGATTATTCTATTTATGGGTCGATCGTTACGTCAAAAATCTATTTTTTCTCCCTTTCTATTCTACTGCATTATATTCATTGACCCTAGCATTTAGAAATGGGGATGTCGGAGCAGAGAGAGAGAGAGCGCGAGTAAAAATCCACCCAGGACTTATTTTCCTATCGATTAACAGAACTTTTTACTCTTTCTAGTAGGCAGTCCGGTTCACACCTCGTAATCTCTTTCACCGCAAGGACGCTGTGACAAACCAATTAAAGCAATTAAGTCGTAGAAGTAACGGACCTTAACGATGTCCCCGATACCCTCCATTCACTACATACCTTGTTCCAGTCACCTGAATGCTCAGTATTTAAGCTACCGTTCGTGTTAAGAAACAGGACTTTGTTATTATTGTTAAACATTCCTAAAGGCATTTCGAACTGGATTGAGATGCTTTTAAAACATTCATTTACCTCTAAGCATACGTTACGATTTCATTTAAATCCATTCAGCGAGAAGAAGAAAACTTTATCTATTAACTAAAAATTCTTACCTCGAGAATTTTGAATATTTAAACACGAATCTTCTAACAAAANTATTAAATTATAGATTTAATGTCAAATTTTCTTCTTACACGAAACAAACTATAAAATAATTTAATATTTACCTTTTTATTTTTTTTCTTTATGGTAATTATCATGTTTTCACCAGAAGAAACTGCATGAAAAACTTTTATTCTCTCATTCTTCAATTCAGCCTAATAAGCATATTTCATTTTAAAATTTGTTAAAATTATCAAACCAGAAAAAGTTTGTTTGCAAATAATTTCTATACTAATTTAATATTATACATTCAATTACAAATTGGAATGTATAATATTAAATAATGTAAATATAAATTATATTTACATGATAATGTAAATATAATTTATATTTACATTATTTGTTATAAAAGTTTGATTTTAATCTATCAATAACTTTTTTGTGCATGTAAACTAAATATATAATATATGGGCAATAAATATATATGTAATGATATTGATTAATTTTCATCTTTTCAATTGTAAAGTCTTACATTAATTCTGTATAACTATATAAAAAGAATTTCATTCAATTAAAAAAATACTTAATTATTACTTACAGTATGCTTAATATGTTTAAAGGTGGGAAACCCAAGAGTATACACATCTTTGTTTGTATTTGCCAATAAACCTTTCTTAATTTTTTCAACCGGTAACCTAAAATGATTTCCATCTATTTCCACACAACTACAAAAATAAAATAAATAAATTTATATGAATTAAATTACGTATCGGCTGAGAGTTGAACGTGTTTTTTTTTTATGTTAATTCGTGCTTAGCATTTTGTGTAAATGGTTAGTCATGTATGCCAGTCACTCCAACAACGGTAATAAAGTGACGTAGATTTATTGACAATTACGCTAATTAGCATATTCTAAATTACCTTAATACATCTTTTTACGTGGGACCCGAAACGAAATCCTCGACGTCATAAATCTCAATTAATTATACACCAGTAAATTTGCATCTGCAGACAAATATGTTTTATGTAGTGCAAAATTATCTATACGAAGAAATTAGTTTTATATAAAATAAAGTGTCATCATTTATACATAAAACTAATATTTATAATATTAAAAATAATACCACGGAGTGGGTAGTTAATATTTAAAAAGGATAAACACTAGACGATAACATTGTAACGACTTAAAGGCAATTATGATTTAATAGAGGATATTATCGATTAAATATAGTAAATATAACGTTGCAATGTAATTTATTACTGTTTCTAATGTATTTATTCGTCTATAGTAGACAATCTACGGTGATTAATTTGTAGAAGATCGGTTTCTTGGTTATGCGCTCGGTCGACGTATAAATAAAATGGTAGTGTCTTCGTGCGTGTTCCTTTAACAATATTCAGTGTTAATAACACGAAACAAATATACGATAATACTAATAAAGCGAGTATAATTGTTCATTTCATTGATGTTACACTCGTAAACGTTACAACGCTTACATACATTAACTCGAAACGTTGAATATTGTATTAACACTTTCGACTTTCTTCATAAGTGTTAATCTTGCAGACTCAACAATAGGTTAACTGATTGAAGTATTAAGCTAATAAAAATACCGAATTTCTCATTCTAATAAGAGTAATTAATTGAATATTTATATTAAATAAGGATCGAGTTTTGATTTCTCTTTTGTCTTGGTTGACAGAAAAGTCAAGGCGCCATTACAAACATGATCAATTCTTATATGAAATTAATTCAATAATAGAACTTTAGCATTAAAATGTACCATATACGCTTCAATTATCGTATATGTAAATATATGTAATCTACCGTAAGAATTGCAACGTGTGAAATATATTTATCGATTTCGATATTGTTTATCGTTCGACTCTACTGAATTTATTTATTTAATACATTATTTAGTTTTAATTTCTAGTTTCTAGTTTTTGTTTTCTTTTTTTTTTACTTCGCAGACTCTATGGGAAAGTTATTTTCTAAGTCATAAAAAGTGAAAACATTTTAGGAAATGACGTAAAGTCGACTCCTTCTCGACACAAATTTCCAGATATTTATCACTAATCCTAATATTTATGGGAGAATATCACACATTTACGTTATCGGGGAGGACGACAGCTATCAATTTCTTCAACGATCGGCTCATGCGTACTCACCGCATGCTGGTATTCCCCCCTCCCTCTTCTTCTTCACTTTCCTAAAAGTAATTTGCAGTTTTCTCACTCTGGTTTTTTTTTTCTTCCAATAAACTATAAGGAGTGTTAAGTTTGAGATGTTAAAGTGAGTTCGAAATTACGTAAGCCAAACGGTGGTAGTGTCGGAATGCTCCATTCGTCTTATCGAAAAAGGGAACATTGGCCGATTGTGTGTTGTTGATAGAAATTCGTTTCCAAGGTCAATACGATGTTCTATAAGATGTTTGATAGTTCTTTCTACTCTCGATTTATAACTATTGTGGTCAATGGCAGAAAAGTCAAGAATTGTATTCACTTAAATAATCATGGAAGAGAGAGAGACATTCCAATTTTATATAAAGGGCTCAATTTATAGCTTTATGATCAAAAGCAATTGAGTTTTATTCGTTTCTTAAAAAAGCGATTTTTCCATCTCTCCCTTGAAACTTTCCTCCTCCTCTCATTATAACTCGAAAGGCAGGAAATAGTCTATTTTTATAATTTTATTTTTTTTTCTCTCTCTCTCTCTTTCTCTCTCTCCTGTTGAGATGTGGGTGGTCT